CATCACCATCACCATCACCATACCATCACCATCACCATCACCATCACCATCACCATCACCATCACCATCATCATCATCATCATCATCATCATCATCATCATCATCATCATCATCATCATCATCATCATCATCATAATCATAATCATAATCATCATCCTCATCCTCATCATCATCATCATCAGCATCATCAGCATCATCATCATCAGCATCATCATCAACACCAGCATCATCCTCATCATCAACAAGAACATCAACATCAGCATCAGCATCAACATCAACATCATGATTATCACGCGCTCTCGTTCCATGGAAGACCAAACCTCCGCCACCCGGGGCGATTCGGGCATCCCCGCAAAGCTCTCGACGCGGCGCACCTGATGAGCATCCCGCAACTGACTGAAAAAAAAAAGCCCGCGACGAACCACCGAGATCCTCCTCCCTCCCCCCCCTTCCACGACGCAGACGCCCCAGATCCCCGCGGCCTTCCCCGCCCCCTCCTCGGCCTGCTCGCGCTGCCGCCGCCGCCCTCTTGACACCGCCACGCCGGGCCGCCTGGCTCTCAGAGGCCCTCGGCGTGTCTCCGCAGGGGCACGGCCTGGAGGAGCCTAGGGCCTGCCGGGGCGAGCAGCTCGAGGAGGGGGATGCGAAGGTACACGTGGGAGGAGGAGCAGCACGACGAGGCGGAGGAGCAGGAGAGCTGGGGTCTGGGGCCCGACGAGGAGAGCAGTGACGAGGACGAGAATTTGCGGCAGGAGTGCGGAATCCACCCGCGTGCGTGTTGCCACGAAATCGCCGTCGACACGAGCATCGAAACCAGGAGTCCACATCCCTGATGACCCGCGCGCGCCCCGAAGCATACAACACCACGTCAAATCCACCCGCAAGTGTGAGAGGGAAGGAGCGATAGGGTTGTGGATGCCATGACAACGGACACTCTAACAGTCCAATCATTGAATTTTAAAGGAACTTAAAATGTGTAAAACGTGTTCTAGGCATGTTTCGAACAGGTGTTTGACATGCTTAAAACATGCTTGAAACATTCTTTAGACATCTGGAAATCATTCGGCAGCATGCTTCCTCTCCATTGCCACAACGATAGGGGAGCACGGGCTCACGAAGGACATATTTACCTGCACCGGCGATGCATCGCAGATAGATCGGCGGTAGCCCCCCTGGAAGCGGACCAGCACGCTCCCTGGGCAAGGGCGGGCGATCGGGCCCCTATGGGTGTCAGCGGGAGATTGGCGGTCGTCGCACTCCCCACGGGGAATCTCGAGGAGAACCCAGCCGTGGCGACGAGGGCCTCCTGGGAGGCCCGAAGACGCCCAAGACGAAGGAACGCTAGCGGAACGGGCACCTTTTCGTTGCCCCCGACGAGTGGTGGGGACTCTGCGGCCTGACCTGGCGACGTGGGGCACTGCCACCGGCCCGCCGCCGCAGGTGCCGCGCGCCCCACCCCGACGACGGGCTTACCCTCAGAGCTGAAGGTTGCCGGAGGGCGCTTTTGACCGGAGTACGGCAGGTTCGTGTCGTGTCGACCCCGGCGTTGGTTTTTGACACCGCAGGGATCGTTCAACCTTGAACGATTGGCCGCTGCCGCAACGTCCGATCGTTCAACATCGATCGATTCTGGGTCGCCGGCGGCGTTCAACCTTGAACGTCCGCGCTGGGGTCGCCGCTGGTCGACACGACGCAGACCTACCGTACAAGATCTCCGAGGATCTGTTCTTTTGTCGATCCTGGCAATGCCTCCGGGGCCCGCGATCGGGCCCCGGGGCCGCCGGACATGGGCACGGGGCAGAGACTACGCCGCAGGGGAACGGGTCGGTAGCTCCCGGGGCCGCGGATTGAAAGAATCGGATCGTCGGATGTCTCTCGGGCATGTCTTACGGTGGGGGCATAGATAAGGAAGCCAGGTCCAGGAGGCCGGTGGAACTCCAATCGAGGCTTGGCCATGGATATCACCGCCGCCCTCATCAGATGAGGAATCCTCCAAGGCCTGGAGCATCCTGGTCGCATACCTTAACAAATGCCCCCACCTTAATGGAGGATGACGATTAATAAATGACCGGGGGTCGTGTTCACGCGGCGGCGCCCGGGATGACGATTAGCAAAAACCAGCCGCGGGCTGGAAAACTATTCTTTTAATCGCTCTCCTCCGGTCAGAAAATTATGCAGAAATAACAGAAAACTATTTGTTGAATCGTTCTCTTCCCTTTTTTATTAATCCTCATCCCACATTAATATGGACTAAGGGGTGCGTGGATCTGGCGCGTTGGCGCGAGATCCATGGATCGGGGCAGGTCCCCCGAGACAGGAAGCCAATGCCCCGCCCGATCTGGCGACGGAGCGCACCGCATCTGCACGGCAACCGGACCCGTCGCCAATCCACGCGTCGCTGCTCTGTGTCTGCGGGTATCGGGTGGGTGGCACAGTCAACCATTACCAGCTTCGAACGTATCCCTATCCCTAAGATTGACACGCCAAAAGGCGATGACAATCTTAGGGATTCGCAACCTTAGGGATTCGCCCTCAAAAAATAAGGGAATCCCTAAGATTGGCATCGTGATGGGGAGGTGCCCAGCATAGGGATGGGGATATGTTCCAGGCTGGTAAAACCAGTATAGTGAGGACGCGCGATAAGGATGCAAGGGCCTTAGACGCCCCTTTCGAAGCTTTTCGACCCGGGCGCGGCAAGCGAAAGCGGCTAAGGATGGACCGAGGAGGCGAGGATGCAAGGTTGCCCTTGGGAAGGTTGCCCATCCTTACTATCATGGTTGACTGTAATGGGGGGTGGCCTAAATGAGGGGTAGGCCAAGGGCGCTCAAGGGGACGCCCGGTCACAGCAGAAGAGGCTCACGTCCTTGCCTTCTGGCTGAAACCGCTCATCTTAGACTGGGCGGCCCTCAGGCTGGGCGGCCCTGCACTTCTGACCCAGTTCTGGGCGGTTCCACCCCTGACTCAATGAAATTCGGCCCCGAACATGCGCTGTCTCGATGGCTTCAGTGCAAGGCCTCCGGAAATCCCGACCCCCCCCGCCAGGAGCCAGGCTCTCATCCCGCGCTGCTTCTGCTGACGGCCGAGGGGCCCAGCGAGGGCTGGAGGCCGCAAGCGGCCACAAACCTCCCGTCGTGATCTTCACGACGTGAGCACACCCAGGTCCATACCTTCATCGGAAGCTGGGCAAGGGCGTCGAAATCCGTGGCTGCTCAAATCGACCTCCGGGAGGTCGTCTGCGTCCTTCCGGGAAAGGAGCCCGTGGACTGTGTCGCGCGCCGCGCCTCACTCCGGGAAGCTGTGTTTTCTTTCCGGTGGGGGCCGTTGTAGCGGCCACGGTCTTACCAGCCCTCGCGCGGCTTCCGACTTCAGCTCCAGCGCTGCGCAAGCGCTGCTCTCGCAGCAGCGGGTGCACGCACCGCCGTGAGAGCAGCTCTCGGGTGGGGCACGGCAGCCCAGCTCTTGGCGACCGCTGCACGGCCGCCAGATCTCTGCCGCGGGTGCCGCGCTCCTATACCCACCCCCTCCGTGCCCCCCCTCCTCCTCCTCCTCCTCCTCCTCCTCCTCCTCCTCCTCCTCCTCCTCCTCTCTACCCCTCCTGCCCCTCCTCCTCCTCCTCCTCCTCCTCCTCCTCCTCCTCCTCCTCCTGTCTTTCGCCACGAGGGCATGAGGGCCCTGAGGGAAAAGGCCCCTGCGCTCTTTCCCTGAGGGAAAGGGCCCCTGCGCTCTTTCACCGTTCTCGAGCCCTCGGGGCCACTCGCACTGGACCGTCCAGAAACGGACCAAGATGAAGAGCTGCTCCTGGGGAAAACTCCGCGACCACAAACCCGTCTCGCTCAGGACCTGTTTCCTTCATGCTGATGTCCTTCGTCTCGCGGTGTGAAACGGCGCCAGAGATGGCTTCCCTACTGCTGGTTGCGTGGAGTGAACGATCGTTCGCCAGCCCTCTCTCTCCTCGTGTTCTCTCTCTCTCTCTCTCGTTCCTGCGCCTCTCTCTCCCTCCTCCCCCTCCGCCTCTTCGGATCGCGTGGGGCTTCGTTAGCTTCTGCTGGATGGGGCTTCCGACGCCCTTGGCGCTGAGGGGCCGCTCGGCACAAACTCCTACCCTTCATCCTCCTCAGCCCTGTCCTCCTCGTCGTTGTCCTCGTCGTCTGGTACTAGTGCTGCTGATTCCTGCGGTGCGTCTGCAGCAGATGGGTTTGACAACCAGCCGATCTACCCCCACGCCAATAGGTAGGCGGCGGATGAGCAGGAGGAGGCGGAGTAGGAGGAGGAGGTTGGAGCGTCACAGGGGGGCCAAGTCATGTTCACCGCCGTCGCGCCCGCCGTCGACGAGTAACGCCGAGGGGCACTTCGACAGCCTGCAGGGCAGCACGGGCTAAGGAAATCGAGACTGCCGGGCAGAAGGGGCTCGAGTGGGCCAGACGATACAGATGGAAATGGACAGCTACGTATTCGGGTTGGGGTGGATCAGGCCTCGAGCGAGGAGGGGGTCCATAAAAGGCGGAGCAGGAAGATCGCACTTGAGCTGTCTAAGCGCAAGCATGTACATCGGAGAGCAACGGCAACAGTAGCGTGTTCAAGGAACCGCGCTCCCAAGGACAGACCCAAACGCACCCCCTGCACGGGTGTAGCGTATCCTCGATTCGGTGATCCACCCCCCCTTCCCAGGTTCTGATGCGAGCACTGCGCAAGGAGGGCAGCACACGAGGCACCACCGAGACGACAACCGACCATCGGGGATCCTCTGACCCGGGTCAATCCAGACCCGGGTCAGCAGGAAACCAAAAACTTGAATGTCATAATGCAAAGCATATACGAAAAACAAACGAAAAGAACGGCAAAAAAGAAACGGGTCTAAAGCAGCAAAAAAGAACAAATATAAAAAAAAAAAAAAAAAGAAAAGAAAAAAAGAACAGAAAATCAAAAAACAAAACACAAACGAAAAAAAAAAAGTACAAAAAATAAGCAAAAAATACAACAAAAAAAAAAGAAAAAAAAATACAACCAGAAGAAAAAGAATAAGAAAATAAGTAAAAGGATCAAAATGACAAACAAATACATAAAGAAAAATAAAGGAAAATAAAGGAAACAAAAATAACCAGACAACAACAAAGACAAAAAAAATAAAAAAAACACAAGAAATAAACAAAATAGACAAAAAAAAGACAAACAAAACATAAGACAAATGCAAAAAAAAAAACAAAATAAAAAAGCAAAAAATAATGCAGGAAAAAAAAAACTGCAACGCAGGTCCTCGCAAACCCGGGTCAGCCAATACGCGCGGCCGCCTCGCGGCCACGAGCGGCTCCCTGACCCGGGTCAGCCAGTGGGGGCCTTCGCAGCCTGCAGGATCCGGCGCCCTGGCTGACCCCCGTTTGCACTGACCCCCGTCTCGAGGCTCCCGAGACCAGTCAACCCACGCCGCGCCGGCCTCGGGGGCCCAGAAAACCAGCGGCAGAGGCGGGCAGCAAGACGGCCAACTGCACGCGGGGCGGGGAGCCGAGGGCCGATCGGCAGAGGGAGGAGTAGCCGGCGGTGGGCAAGCCTCCCTTCAGCCAACCTCCATGAAGGGGCCCTGGGACATACAAGTAAATACACACAAATGACAGGATTCCCACATTTTTCCCATATTTTCTAGGTTTTTGTCTTCCCCCGCACTTCCCATATTTTCCAATGTTTTCTGGGGAATCGACGATCAATTGTGTCTGTGTGTTTCTTTCCCTCCTGACTCCATTCAGCGAAAACGGCCTAGGACCGAAGCCGACGGACCTGGACCCGCAAAAATGACGGCCGCGGCGCCCTCTCGCGAACCGAAAACGGCCAACTCGCTGATCGCCGTGTCAGGGCAGGAGGCTTATCAACCTCCGAAGTCCCGGCCGGACGAAAGGGGTGGATAGCAAAGGGGGGGTTTGAGAATCAGCTCACGCAGCTGATTTTCCTGGCGCCTCCCGGAGCCGGAGGCGGCTATGTATCGAGGACTGGGCCCCTCGGTGGGGCCGAAATCAGCTGCATGCAGCAGATTTCGTAACCCCCCCTTTCCCGATCCCCCCCTTTCGTCCGGCGCGAGAAGTAGGAGGATGGCTTGCCGCCGAACGTGCTCCGGAGACGCTCCGCCGGAGCACGCGGGCGAGCGTGCTCCGGGAACGCTCGGGCGTCCACTAGTGGGGGGCAAGAGATGGGGTTGGCAGGAAAGGTGCACCTCTTCGTGCACCTTTCGTACCCCTTCGGGGCCCCAGGGGGCTCGTTTGGGGCCCCTTTCGGGCCCGTTGTTTTTTTTTTTTTTTTTTTTTTTTTTTTTTGTTTTTTTCCCTTTCGGGCCCCGTTCGTGCCACCATCGACGCCCCCTCGCTTCTCGCGCCCCCTCCTTGCCGAGCGCCCGAAACGCTCCGCCGGAGCGCGCTGGCCCGCGGGCTCCGCGTCGCAGCGCTTCTTCGTTTTCGTTTTGTCTGCGTTGTTTGGACGCCCGAGTTATCCGGGGTAACTCGGGTCCGGGGTAACTCGGGTTTGGGTTCCCGAAAAAGGAACCCGAGTTAGCCCTGACCCGAGTTACCCCTGATGATTCGGGGCTCTGGACGCCCGAGTTATCCGGGGTAACTCGGGTCCGGGGTAACTCGGGTTTGGATTCCCGAAAATCGAACCCGAGTTATCCCTGACCCGAGTTACCCCTGATGATTCGGGGCTCTGAGCTTTCGTCTCCAAGCCGCCTCTGCAGCAAAACGAAGCCGAAGCGAAAACGGCCCACGGAATCACCGAGAACACCGTCTATAGGCCCAGCCCTGGCACGCAGGGCATCCCGCGAGGGATCAGGGCAAGGGAGTTCACCGCGAGCCGCTCGGCGCAGGGCGGGCGCCTCCGCGGCCCGGCATGGCAGCGTGGTCGCCGCCGCCCGTATCAGGGCGGCCGCGCAGAGCAGGGGCAGGGGGTCCGACGGGACGATGGGGCCGCCGATGCTCGGGAGTTCGTGCCAGTCGCCATCGCCGAGGAAGCTGACAGGGAGGCAGAACGGGCGCGGCAAGAGGCCTGCTCTTCTGAAGGCCGCTCGGGGCGTCGAGGCGCTGCGTCTTATACGAGAGCACCGAGGGGCATCTCTCACGAGACAGCCAGGCCGACGAGTGGGTGTCAGACCTGCTCCTGGCAACCTCTCCAACCCGATCACAATACTTCGTCAGAGGAGCTCGCCATTGTTCCTCCGTCTCTAACTCCAGGGCCCATGAGCAGGCCTGAGTAATTACTCGAAAGGATCGGCGATGCAGAAGGCAACCCACTCGGGGCCGATCGAGGCGACGATCTGGCGCGCCTGGTCGATGAGCTCGTCCGTGAGCGGGCCCAGGAGGGGAATGGCGAAGCACTTGGACGGCTTGATGCGCAGTCCTGCTAGGAGACGCGCCATCTTGAAGACGCGGGCGACCACCTCGAGTGCGCGACGACGAAGCAGGGAGGCCCCAAGCTCGTCCGCGCACCAGCGCGGACGGGCAGGAGAAGGAGGAGGAGGATGAGGAGGATGAGGAGGAGGAGGAGGGATGATGAGGAGGACGAGGAGCCTATGTCGCACGAATCTGGCATCGAACACTTGCGTTCTCTGAGCACCACCTGTGCTGCGCAAGCCTCCACGGTTGGGCATCGTGGCCGTCGGCGCCAGAAGCATCATCGGCGATGTCGGCGCCACGGCTGTCCTCCCGGGGCGCCCGAACAAGCTTCCTGCGATTCAAAGTCTTGGGCCTGCGCCTCCTCAGCACATCTCCACGGTTCGAAGATCCCTTTCAGGCCCCCAAGACGGCTTCCGACGGCGTCAGACGGGCCACGAACGCCCTACGACAGCCAAGAGGCCATCCCGAAGGCAAAAATCCGTGACGCCCCTTACATTTCTCAAGGATGTTAGCGGTTTCGCCTTTTCGGGCTTCCGACGCTCCAAGACTGCAAGACCGGCCCTTAGGCCCCGAGATCGCCCCAAGACGGAACAAGAGGCCCCAAGAGGCCCGCTATACTATCCAAGAAAGCCCCAATATGGCCCAAGAGGCCCTGAAGACGACGGCCCCAGAACCCCCCAAGACGGCCCTAAAGTGCCCAAAGAGGGACCTGTGACCGCCCAGAGAGAATCACAAGACGGCATCCAAAGGCCAAGAGGTCGAATAAAGGCCCTAAGAGGCCCCAGGAAGCCTATGAGAGGCCCCCTAAAGCCCCCCGAAAGGTTTGCAGGAAGCACCCAGGAGGCCCAAAGAGGGCCTCGAAATGCCTAATTGTCGTCGTCGTCCACCACTTCCTCCTCCTCCATCCCCTCCATCCCCTCCTCCTCCTCCTCCTCCTCCTCCTCCTCCTCCTCCTCCTCCTCCTCCTCCTCCTCCTCACATTGTTCCCCGAAGGGCTTCTGCAACGGCTGGGACACACACACATATACATTTATATATACATACATACATACATTCTTTCTATCTTTTGAACCGCGATGGACTACAGACAGAGCTCTGAATCACCTCTGGTCTTTCTCTCTTCTTAAACTCCACCTCTAGATCAAATCCGAAACTCACTCAAGTTCCAAGGAATCTCCGAAACAGGGCGCTGGCCCTAGATATCCGAACGCCCCTCCTCGGCCTTCGTCGCCGCGGCTGGGCGGAGGCGGAGGGCGAAAGTCCAAAACGAAACCAGCGCCTCGATCATTTTTCACGAGACGCGCGCCGGCAAACAGCCGGCGTCAATTATCACAGCACACGGTGCCTCACGCTACCGTCGAACTTCATCGTGAAGCAGATCAGCTTCATCAGCCGCTCCATCGTGTCTTGGTCGAGGGCCTTCGTGAACAGGTCCGCTGGGTTCCAGTGCCCCTCGACCGTCTTCAGCAACAGCCTTTTTCTCTGAATACGTTCCTGCAGCCATAGAAATCGAACATCCAAATGTCGAACAGCTACCAGTCCCTGTCGGCTTGAACATGTAAAGCTCCATCTCGTAGTCCACCTCAACTCCAAGGTCGGCCAAAGTGGGCTGTACCCCAAAACCGTGGCAGGCTCCACGCAGTAGTGCATCGTACTCGGCCTCGCCGCTGCTTAAACCCACCGTGGATTGGACCGACCTGCCATGTTGCAGCAGATGCGTTCCCCATAGAATGGCCATTCCACTTCGGGAACGCCTCGTAATCGGATCACCCACATAGTCGCTGTCGCAGTAAACGCAAACCTTTCTAGGCAGCTTCTGAGCGGGAAGCAGCGACCTTCCAGCGAGGTACTTCTTTAAGTAGCGGCCAACGCGCTAAGGATCCTCCATGTGGGTCTCCTTCGGCTCCTTCATGTGTCTAGCCTGCATGCTCGCGCTGTAGCTGATGTCGGGCCGGTCCAGACTCAGGCGCATGATCCGCATGGTCACGCCGCGGTAGGTCTTCCCTTCTCGTCGCCCAGCTTCGGCGAGGTCTGGTTGCTACTCAGGATCTCCGCGACAGACCTCTCAACGGCCAGGGTAGTCACTTCCTTCGCATTCTCCAAGCCCAGGTCCCTGATCACCTTCTTCACGTGCCGGGTGTCCGCTTCGAGGTAGGCTGAACGCTCGAAGGGGTTCCAGATCAACAGCCGGTTGCGATCGTCCGCGCTCTGTTCCTCCAGGGGCCTGCTGCTCAGAATACCCGTGACCTTGAAGTCGTAGCGCGAGAGCACGTCATCGAACCACCCCTCCTGGGACTTGCGCATAATCGCACTAAAGTCGTCGCAGTGAACCTCCGCTTGTATATGACGCTCGGCGTGGTGCAGCAGCGCTGGGTTCGAGACGCCCTTCTTGAAGCCGTGCAAGCTTGTCAGGCCGATGTAGTCGTCTTGCCACACATGACTTGCGTCCACTGTGCCGTGCATCGTCTTGAGTAGCCTGCCCACCATGGGTTCCGGATCGTCGTAGGTCTCCTCCTCGGGCAACTCCATATACACTTCGCGATTTGCATATCCATAGAAGTGCGCCCTCAGATGTCGCAAAACTTGTAAATGATCTCCTCCGCATCGCCGTCGCGGTAGGCGTCGTTCACGCGGCCGACGAAGATGGTCACCATCGCCTTGAACGCTTCCAGCGGTGGCATGGCCGAGAATAGTTCAGCTTGATCTGGTCGGTCTTCGGACCTCATCGCTTTCTTAATCTCCCTCGCGACCAGCCTCGAACGATGCCGTGGTTGAGTTCGGTCGCCCTTGTTCGTGAATATCCATTTCAAGGTCACTGCCTTCTGGCCGTTCTCGAGCATCTCGCGTCTAGGTACCTTCTTCCATACCTGCCTCCCGCGGCACCAATCCAGTTCTTCTTCCCTCGCGGCTCGCACCCCCCTCATCGTCCTGGTACTCAGCGGACACCTCAGTCTCTTCTTCATGTGGGTGTGGTCCTCCACAAAGAGCTGCAAGTAGGTTGAGCCCTTCTCGTCGTCGAAGCTCCTCTCGTAGGCCATTTGAGAATAGCTGCAACCAGGCTCGGAGGGTATCGTTGTGCATGTTTGGCGCGTCCGTCAACCAGGTGAACATGGCGAGCGAGTTCTCCGTTCGGACCCCTGGGGCACCGGCAGTGGCCTTTTGAGGATCTCGGCGAGCAGCTCGCTGTTGGTGAGCCACCCGGTCTCCTTCCGAACGACGCCCAACTTTCCGATGGAGTCGGTCGCCTGCATGTGCCAGCGGCACATAGGTCCATGGACTAAGAATACGCCTGCCAACTGTATGACCTCCTGAACGCTCGGGCGGTGCCAGCTACTCGCTGACCAAGGTGCTTCGTGAAGAAACAGCTTCCCTGCATTGTAGCGCCCCTTGCAAATCTCCGTGCTGAATTTGAGGTGCGTCTCGCCTTCCAGGATCTCCGCCTCCACGATCTTCGGGTCTCGCTTTGAGTCCGAGAGCGTCCGCAAGTTGCTGAATGGCGTGCACGGGGGGCTGGTGGTCGTCAGCAGCGGGTCTTCGTCCTTTAGCTGCTTCTTGCACTCCTTTCGCTGCTCGGGCAATCGCAGATCCCAACCGGTCTCGATATCCACTGCCAGGCCGTGCGCGAGGCCGTGCCTGAACGTCATCTCTGCAAACCTTCTCGGCGAACAAACCTCCGCAGTGTCCACTGCGCACATCTCGGTAAGAAGTGACGCGATCTCCTCCGCCTGCTCTGCGTCGTTCACGTTGGCGTTCGTCCACATCTCGAACATCGCCAGCTCGTAGATCATGATAAACGCGTTGCCTTTGTCGTAGCCGTTGATCCGCTCCAGGAAGTCGACGTCCATCGATCCATCTGGAGCCCGGCTCGGTCTCGACACCGATGCCGATGCTGAACTTGATGACGCTGCCTGGGACATCGCTGTGTCGACCAGGTCCCCCACGTTCACCTGCGCCTCCTCCTGGGGCGCCGCTCGCTTGAGCGCGAGCCGAGCTTCAGCTTCAGCAGTTGCAGGTGCTGAGCTTCCTCTCGCATCGCCTCGTGCCCGGGTAGCTCGTCCAGGGTCGGGTGCGTCTCCTCGGCGCTTCCTGGCAGTGCTCGGTTCGCTTCCACTGCCTCCGGCCGGCACCACCGCCATCTCGGTGTCCCTCGGCTCTGGGGCAGGAGCTCGATCGCCGTCCCCAGAGGGCGGCGGTAGGGCAGCTTGGTCTCCTCCAGCTGCATCTCGACCTCGAACACCTCGACCGCGTGCTGATTGGTCTCCGGCTCGAAAGTGATGTTCGGTAACTCGTACTCGATCTTCATCGTTACCCATCATTAGCTCTGCGATCCTGTCGCGGCACTCGTCGCTGTGGGTTTTCGTGATCTTGCCCTTCTGCGTCAGCTCCAGACATCCAGGACAGCCCGCAGTGGCACCATACTTCTCGATGTCGCGGCGTAGGACGTACCCCGCTCGCGGGGCTCGTGGCTCCATCCGAACGGTAGCCACCGCCGGCGCTCGCCAGAGCGGGCGCCTCCTCCTCCGGGCGAGTCGCCCAAGGAACTCCTCGAAGAGCTGCCCAGTCCTTACTGTCCCAGCTTGCTCCTTCGGCAGCTTCTTGAAACCTTGGGCCTTCTCCACGCCGTCAACCGTCATGGCGAGCAGGGCTCCCGTCCGAATGTGGTAGCCCAGGAAGTTCCCGGACTTCCTGTGCATCACCCGCTCGCCAAACTCTGCTTCCAGCTTCTTCCAGTCGCAGCCTGAGCGCCGCTGTTCTCCAGCGAGGCCGTCGGTTCCGCGTCGGTACCGGCCAATGCAGGCCGCGGCGCACTGGGGTAGCCACTTCAAGATCGGGGGTATAGATCACCGGGGGCCTTGGCTACCCTAGGCCCTACCCAAGGCCCTAGGCTTCCCAAGGGTGGGCCCTACCCAAGGCCCTAGGCTTCCCAAGGGTAGGCCCGACCCAGGGCCCTAGGCTTCCCAAGGGTAGGCCCTACCCAAGGCCCTAGGCTTCCCAAGGGTAGACCCTACCGAAGGCCCTAGGCTTCCCAAGGGTAGGCCCTACCCAAGGCCCTAGGCTTCCCAAGGGGTAGGCCGTACCCAAGGCCCTAGGCTTCCCAAGGGGTAGCCCTAGGGTAGCCCTAGGGGTGGGCCCCAGGGGTAGCCCCAGGGTAGCCCTAGGGGTAGGCCCTAGGGGTAACCCTTCATTGCGGATTACAATATGATTCCTTTGGTCGGGCGACCGCGGCCCCGGCGCCGCAGACCCCCCCCTCGCAGACCCCCCCTCTGGGATCCCCCCTCGCTGACCCCCCCTCGCAGACCCCCCGT